CATGATTCCAACATATGTCCATTTTTATTAAGAAGGTTTTCTGTGAAAGACTGCTGATGAAATAAAGAAATTTTGTTTCGCGATAAGACACTGCGAGGCGCAAATATTGCTAAGCTAAAAGGTCGGAGTCCTGCAGTGGGTTTGACTCTGCATAAAAACGGTGCTCTGCTCTAGCTCTTCTTCGGCTGTGAAGATCCAATTTCCGGCGGCTCCACTCAATGGTCGCTTCTCCTGTTCTGAGCTGTGCGAGAACTGCGCGAAAGAATCTGTGTGCATGTGACATCCATTGTCGCTGTGCATGCGACCTTCTTGCATCACAGACAAGAATTTGACATGAATTCTCGTAATGGAAAACAAAGTGTATGCGTCCTTGCAGACGCGTCGTGAGTGCTGAATGTGTAGTACCAAGTGACAATCTCTGTTAAAACACTTTGTGCTTTGAAGCCCTGCAAGTTTGGAAACACCTTGTTCTGCGGCTTGCACAATAAGCCAAACAACCACTCCTTACGGTGAGTGGGGCGCAAAAGAACCGAGGAAAGCACATAGTTCTGCTTGCTGTGAATTTGAGTAATAAGCTGAAGCTCATTCATGGATAAGTCTATTTTTCGATTTTTATGTCAAAGTTTACACGAGGATTGCTTGCTCCAACGCTAAGTTGGCCTTTGCTTCATTATGGCTGTTAGCATAGCGTGCTCCGAGCCACCTATCCTGGGATGTTCCAAGTAGCCAAGGCTGGTCTTCATGGTGCGAAACATGCTCCCTTTCTCATGAGCCTCGCAAACGAAGGGTCCAGGCGGTTCAATGTGATGGCAAGTGCCGAGCTGGGATCTCGGACGGCAAGATGCGTGCGCACAGTGTGAAATATGTTTTTGCAAGAAAAAGGCTTCCAGACATCGATGACAAGAAGGCAACGGTTAGATCGCAATGACTGACGGTTGTGGTTGCGCTTCTTCTAGGCTGGAAGCCTCTACTCCAAGACGGATCTGCTGAAGGTTTTGCGCCGTGTTCTTGTGTTGTCAGTGTAGTGCAAACGTTCTCTACTTGACAGACGATATGTCTTTCGAGCCAGGCCGCCAATGAGTTCTTCAACGATGCGTGCCAGACTGAGCTGTCTCTTCAGTATGTGTGTTCGGGGAATGGTGCACAACTGTTGCACCCAAACTCCCACTGCCGGCTGTCGCCCCTCCAAATATTCTTGGAGTCGAAAGCAAACGCAAAACTCCGGTATGACAAATTGCAAGCTTTCAAACGCAGCATTGGATGGACATGCAGCTGAGTCAGTAGACAGCAGGCAGTTTCTGCCGTGGTCATCACATGCGAAGGCTACCACGCATGGGGTTCCAAGAGGTGTCGGCTGCCTTGTGCATTTGAGCAGACTTGCTTCACGGTTCCACTTGCGACTTGCAACCCCTTGGCAGGACCATTTTTGGACCAACATTCGGATAATGCTTTGCGTCGCTTGCTGCGCCTTCGGGTGTTATGCGCAGTTCGTGCTGAAATTTCCAAAGGACTGCTTGTGACAGATGCATGGATTAAGTTTTTTGAAGCCACTGGGCATTAAAGATTTCCTTGTGCATGGGGGGTCGAGAACTGCTTCTTGCAGGACAGATTGATGATCGGTGTCTGTGTTGCTGGCTACTTTTTCTTTACTGGCCTCGTGACGCTGATAGACATGCTTGCCAAAGTCCCAGCAAGTCCCGACGTGTTCCAAACGTGTCGATGACTTTCTTCAGGTCATCAAGACATCAGTCATTTGCATAAAGGTCCTTTCCCGAGCAGAGAGACTTGAGAGTTCGTTTTTGCCCGTGCTGATCGGAATGATGCGACACCATTGTTGGTGACACAGTGGTCTTGGTTCCTGTGGAGGTCAGTGGTCAGACAGTCTTTGTTGACGTGACCATGCAGCCGTTCTCGCACGAGATGACAATTGGTTTGAGGCCTTTGTGCTGATGGGGTTCTAAGGTTTCTGTTGAATGCCGCAACTTCCAACATCTCAAGAGAAGTAGAAACTGGATGCGAAGCCTATGGACTCTTTTCTGGTGTCAGCTGTGGGTTGAAGTTGAGTGGGTGATCCCAAAGCCACTGGGAGGTTGATGTGAAGCGCAATTTAGGATCCTCCATGCCTTCGCAGGAATCATATTGGCTTGTCGCTTGGATGCATGGTCTGTCTCTTGATCTCGTGCCTTCTGCTCAGCTTCTTGCGATGGTATGCGTGCTAATAAGGAAAAAGGACACGCCGATCTCGCACAAGGCCATGGCTTCTTGCAACATGTGCTTGCTACATGTAAGCTGCATACTGGTGAGCGCCACTCCACTGGCTGAGACTTGTGCATAGTGAGCGTAGTGTTGACTTCCGTGTTTCTAGCTGCTTGCAGACCTCGGTCGGGGAATACTTCGATAGCGACGGCTACTTGGGCCAAGAGGAGATCCTCGCCGCCTTCATGAAGCTGGCCGGGTCCCAAGCTTTGCCATGGCCTGGCTTTCTGGTGGCCGTGGGTAGAGATTTCCTGACGAGATGCTGAGGTCAAGCGCTTTGAAAAAGAGCACGACGGCAGAGAGGCAACGTGTGCTGAGTGCTTCCAGTGCCAGAGCCTTCACGACTGCATCGCTTCAGCTGCAGCTGCCGGCTCTAGAGACTCTAGAATGGCTCGGCCGCTTTAGTCGTGTGAAGCCGGAACCTTTACGCAGCGGCGCTGGCCGCCAGAACTCTCAAGCTTCCATCGCTCCGTGTGATGAGGCCACTGGCCACGTTGTGGGCTGGTGGTTTTGAGGCCCCCTGGCAGTGTGCGAAGAGAGTCTCCGAAGGCCTTAAAGTCTTAAAGCGTTTGCGGGGAGGTAGTCTTCACGGCGCCAGTGCCAGATCCACATCGGATCCTTGGCGACCGTCCCGGTGATTCCTCGTGCGCTTAGCTGTGCTGTGCCGCTCTGCCAAGGTGTTCCCCGAGGAGCGTCCCATGGGGAAATCCGACAAGCTTACCTGCAGAAGGACTTTCCAGGAGAGTCCGACTTACTCGAGAACCGAAACGCTCGAAGGCCAAGCAGCTGCATCCTGACACGAGCTCACGACTCAGCCCGGCCAAGTTGGAATTCGCAAGCCTGCGGCGAAGACTGGTCTCGGGCCCAGGTCAAGTGCCAGATTCACACTTAGCGTTTCAGCAGCTGCAAGCAGCATACAAGGCAGGTTGCTACCGGGTCGGCATAATTTGTTTGCGTTGAATCCTTATGCGGAATACGTGCCTAGGGCTTTGATTCATTCGTGTGCTTCGGCAGGAATTGTCAGATGGTCGGAGTGAGCCGTTCCGGGTACCAAGTGAGGCCGTTGCAGCTGAGCTGCTCATCAGCCTCTTGACAGAGTTGTTGTCTCGCACTTTCAAGGCCTCCAGACCGACGGAAGGCTCTTCTCATGGTTTCAATGCCAGGCACCTGCAGCTAAAGCCGACGTCCAGAGTTTTCTTGACAGTCAAGAGTCACAGGCATGGCTTTCCCGGTTCCGGGCCGTATTACTCGTCGCTTGCCGTTAGCTGATGCAGACTGTATCTGATGTATCTCCATGTGGCTTGTCGATGAGGCAGTACACACGTGCATCGACGTCTCCGCCGAAGTCGACGCGATTTGCCTGCATCCACCGAAGCCTGTTCAGAACAGCACCTGCCGCGCTGTTTGAGGTGGGAGTTGCTGCGGGAGGGAAGAGCCCGGCCCTTAGGGCCCTGAGAGCCGCACCCTGCCTCGGCGACATGCTGCCACCAGCGTGAAGGCTTGGAGGCGTGGCGGGCTGGTCCACCGCAGCGTGGCACGCTTCACTGTGAACCTGCTGGGATGCTGGCCGCCCGGGCCTTAGGATGTCCGCGCCACTCCCTCCATGTTGCCATTCCTTTTTAAGGCCATGCGATTCTTGTGTTTTGATTGTTTGGTTCTTGCGATTATCCACTGTTTTTGCAAGGCTTTGGCTTCTTTGCAGTGCGGCCTTCTTGGCATCTCGTGGAAGGCCTGATCCAGAATCCAATAACAACAACAGCAAAAGCAACAGACAGATAAACCAGCAGTGTAGATTAACGAGGAACTTGAATCGTTCTGATTAACAGCAAGGATCGGGAAAGGAACAAATTGTCCTGGTTGGGAAGCTTCGCAAGACTTCCCGCATCGAGTAGCTCTTGCCATTGCAATCTGGAGGTCTTCCTTCGGGGGGCTCCAATACGATGCTGAGGGTCGGTGCCTTTCAGCATATGCCTGCAGCATCTGGGTACACCCTGTGGGACGTTGCTGCTCCAAAAGGGGTGTCTTGTCACCACCCGCCAGGCCAGGCGTACGTCAGAAGCGGAGGCCAGGGGGAAGGACTCGGAGACTGTTGGATCTTGCTAGCTGTGGTTCCCAGAATGGCAGGGAGCTTCAGACGAGTTCCGCAATACGATGACATTCCTGATTGAGCACATACCTCAATCTTGCTTTTCTATGTCCGTATGAATAGACGAAGCCCGGCGACGTCTGTACTGCAATAGCTGGAATCGCCACAGCGCAAGCGTCCTCATCCGAGCCGCAATCTCCCAGGCATGGAACTCTTCGCGGTTTTCTGAGCCATGATGGCCGCACCCTTCTCCTCTGGTGCTATTCTGGGGTGGGGAGTCTCATCGCAACGACTCGAAAGTGATCGCTTTCACGGGAAGCCAGTGTGAGTCGCCATGTCACAGAAGGTGAAAGAAGTATTGCTACACACAGCTACCCATGTACATAGACCATGTTCTGGACTGCGGGATTGTTGTCTCGCAGATCAGAGGATCAAAACGTACGTGCAGTGCATTTCAGTGTCTTCTGACTCCTCCACATTTTCAACACCTGCTTCTGGCAGGCTGAGAAGAAAAAGGACAAGTGAGATGCCGAGACCTGACGAGGGTCTGGGTAATTGGGCTTCAAGCAACAGTCTCACTGCCTGGAGCGCGATGCTCCTGTCATCTTTGGTGGAGTACCCAGGACCCCCAGGACCACAGGATCTAGCATCTTCACTGTACGTGTTGTTTGGTCTTGGTTCGCATTATCCCGCTTGGGAGGTAGGTGTAGGGTGTGCGAAAGCTGCAGTCTCGACTGGAGCAGGTTGTTGAGACCGGCAAACCCAGAAGCTTGCTGCAGTTGAACTGTGTCGGATGTAACGCTGAGACCTCCGCAGCATATGCATCTTGATCTCGAGCTGGCGTTTCGGCTGGGAGAAATCTAGCGGCATCTAGCGGCTGTCACTGCCATGCAGCACACACACACAATTTCACAACAACACCAGCACACCAGCAGTTCCTGCAGTGTCTAGCAACTTAGCAGAAAGTTCAAGGGATCGAGGTGTGCCGATTCCCTCTCTGCGAGAATCACATGGATGCAGCCTGCATGCACGGAGCAGATGTTGATCTTCGTTCGCCTCGGAGCTCGGTGCTACTCAGGTGCTCGTCTGGTGGACGGCAGAAGCCTCAGCCGAGCGCTTTTCGAATCTTTGCTGAGAGACCACGGAGGTTCCGGCACCGAAGCCGCATCCTTGGGACTCCGAGGCCGGGGCCCAGAGCCGCGGCGTAGCGGCGTCGCGGCGTAGCCGTCTTCTGCTTCAGGTGATCGATTCGGAGGAGGACGGGGACCTCCTAAGAGCCCGGCTGCAGTTCGGGGACCCAGACCACAGGCGCCTGGGGACCTGTAAATCAATAGCACATTTTCATGAACTGAGGCAAGTTGATGGTACGGGCGTGCAAGTGAGCATGGGAAAGGACAACGAACATTCCTCTCTCTATCGTCAAGAATTGTCAACCTCGTGCCCTTCCCGTTCAGCGCCTTTTACGTGAAGGATGTCCTTGGCGTGGCCGGATGCATCCTTCTGAGCCAGGGGCTCTGTTTCCCTTTTGAGCTGGGCCGGGGCTCTGCGAGCCCAGGTCATGGCTACGACCTGTTTCGGGGGCTGTGCCAGATGGAAAGCCTCACTGAAGGAAAGGCCGGGCCCGCCCCTGCGGATTCGGCAAAGCCCCGTGCTTCCATGTGCTCCAGGACTACACAGATCTGAAGACGACGGATACACCGCCGCAAATTCTGGTGAAGCAGGCGAACCCAGCTATCGCTTGCGAGCTGGTGCACAGCGGATGCTTCTAGGACCTGTTTGCCGCGTTGCTGTGTCGGGCCTGGGCTCGCCGTGCAGCGGTTTCGAAAGTGAGGCTCTGGTCCCAGTCGCTTTTACACTGGAAGCCCTTGCAGTGGCCACGCGGTCACGCTCCGCTGGTCTCTTCGCATTTCAGGCCGTTGCTGCAGGACAGACGGACCCTCAGTGCCTTTACATGCCTTTACGCTTTGCGGAGCCCAGCACTTCTTTCCTTCGTAGCATTCCAGGCCTGGCATGTCCGTTTGCAGAGTCTCGAATAGAGCTACGCCCATCTCTGAGCTCTTATGGAGTGCGAGCTGTGGAAGTGTTGCTTATTTGGAGTCTGCTGAGGTTCTGATGCTGACATATCAAACCACTACTACGAGTTGATGCTGGGGCGTGGACCGAAGGCACAAGCAAATCAAGGAAGCAAGAGCGTTGCTTTCTCCGATCATCACATCACTATGGCGCAGGACCAGTGCCCACTTGCGGAGAAGTACTTGCAAGGTGTTGCAAGAGATATGCGTCTAAGCCGTCGGCCTCAGCCAAGACAGTTGAATGTAAGGTAGCCGTTTGTCTACGGGTTGAAGTTGCCGTCAACTCCTGAGGTGAGCAGCCCTACTTCCAAAGCGTTCTGGCAGTGGGCCTCCCCAGACAATGCACCCCTACAAAAAGCATGGTGTCTTTGACCCGTGGTGCAGGGGCGTTGTGATCCCAACGATTCGATTCTCAGTATTCTGAAGATGTCAGCTGCTCATCTTCCTCTGCACCTTGATCTCTCTAATCAGGCAGGTATGTGCCAGCATGCACACATCCCGCGGAAAGCTGGAAGTGGAACAACTGAGGTTGGACGTACCGGACGCACTGGTTCCGCTGGATGTGAGACAGGACAGCTTCCTGTTCCGTGTGAAAAGTTTCCTGAAAGCAAGAAAGTGCTGTGGAGGAGTTGGCCCTGGGGGTCGCTTGTAAGGTGGGCAAGAATAGCGAGCATGTGCGGAGAATGCGCCCCATTCGCTCTTTGAGGTGCTTGAGCTGATACAGGTGACTGGCCTTGACCTTTGATCTTACAGTTAACCGGTGCAGATGGCATCCAGAGAGTGCTTGGTGCTGTTAGCAGCAAGCTTGGTCATCTCACCTTTCAATCCGTTAATGCGCCCTCGCTTGCGCCGAAGCAAGTGGATCATAGCTTTGCCAGCAAAACGAGAGATCAGATATAATTATATGCCTGGATACTTGTGTGACATACTGGCCGAGCCGGGCTCCCCTGCACGAAACGCTCTTGAGCCTTTTGGCTCCAGCTAAAATCAGTCGAATCTCCGTGCAGACATAGAGGGTGGTGGCCATGGTCGAGGTGATGACGGCGTTGCGGTGGATCCACACAGCTACGGGCCTGTTATTTTCTTCCCTCTTGGCCTGGAGACTCGTGCAAGAGAAGCTTGGCGGCACAACCAGGGACAGCAGCTTGTGTGTGTCCTGGAGCCTCAAACCGAGGCCGAATTACCAGTGGCAGGTGCCCAACATAATCGTTGGATTTCTTGTGGCGTCCAGGCAGTTGAGATTGAAGACTTGAAGTCGGAGTTGCAATCTAACAAACACCATCACCTTCCTGCGCTTGAACAGGCGACTCCCGCTGTTTCTTTCTGCGGGTCTCCTGGTGTGGGCGGCAGTGTTTGAAGCTTGCCTTTACTGCCAGGATTTCTTGTGAAACAGCAGCATGGCAACACGTCAAGATTTTCCTGACTCAGATTTCGGGAGTCCCACGAACCGATATCGAGCCCGTCAACGTCGGATGGAATGTCTGTGGGAGTTCGGCCTTCTTCTCCGGTCTTCTAGGCAGCGGTTTCTTCTGTCTTCGACGCTGCTTTGGGATTCTTCGGATGATTTCGGACGCGAAGAAAGCAGGCTGTGTCATCGCAGCCTTGTCCTCGAGACTGGGGAGGATACTTTTTGTGGCTTTTCTCGCCTGGAGCGTTCACGAAACTTGGCCTGGACGGCAGTCGGTTGGCTCGAGAATCATGCCGGTGGGATTTCTGCCGCTGCAGTTTCTTCGCCGATTGGCAGCAAGGCACTGTCGCGTTTCCTTCCTGTCATCGTGGCTCAGGACCGGGAACTAAAGCACTGACATGTTAAGCCGGTGTCCGAGCTACCTCAGTGGGCAAGTGGCAGGAGAACATACCGCGCTTCCGCCCAGAAGCTGCCATTCCGGAGACTCCACAGCTGCGTCTACAGCTCTGCAGCGAAAGCTCTCAGGAGGTGCGTGTCGCACTACGGTTTTGACAGTTGACATTTTGATGTTGTGACCCCATCAGCAGTGGTGTCAGGCAGAAGCCTGGCGCAAGCAAATCGGGATCGTTTGCGAGCCGATAGTGCCCCTGACTTGGGAGGACTCATCATTAGTTGCCAAGCTCCCATAAGGGTCGACGTTCGAAGTAACAAGCTAGAGTCGACGACTGTCCGAGTTTGGCGAGCTAGCAGAAAGCCGCCTTGATGTCATGGGCCCTGAAGTTCCACATCTTGCTACAACATGAGGAACACGGCTCAGTCGTGCTAGCACCAATCTCGACTCCGATGTCACTTTGCCTTCGGTCTTGTTTTTGCGGTGTAGTATTTTGTCGTACATGCTCTTGCTTTGTTTTACTGCTGTTGCGATTGCTATGGCCGGGTATAATTTCTAATATGTCACTACTGTGAGCATGACGACCAGCTGCAAGCATTACAACCACTATTGCCACAACGGCTGGCGACACCTACGACAACGACAATAGCTGCTGGTTATTGCACTCATTTTGATGTTGTTGCAAAGTTGGCATTGCCAGTGAATTGTCACCATTAGAGCTAGTGTGGTCTCATCCCAACAGCCACAAGCGTATTATGACAGTTGTTTCAAGTCGTCTCTGCTTCTTGTCTGGTTTTGACGGTTTCCTTGTTTACGACTATCACCATCGTCATCATCATCATGTTCAGTGTACGTCGTAGTACTCCCAATTGGTTCGACAGAAGTTCGCTTAACTGCATTTTCTAAAACATGTGTTGGAACCTGCATTTTGTACCCTCGAACCAGATAAAACTACCAGGCGCCAGGAGGCGCGCAACCCCAGTAGTAGTAGCAGTAGTAGCAGCAGCGGTAGCAGTAGCACTAGTCGTAGTCGTAGTCGTAGCCGTAGCCGCAATCGTAAACATAGCTGTAGTCTCAGTCGTAGTAGTCGTCGTCGTCGTGGTGGTGGTGTTAGTAAAAGTAGCAGCAGGAGTAGTAGCCGCAACTGTAAACAATCCTGGCAAAGACTCAACATGAACCTAGTAAAACCTATAAAACGCCTTACGATACAACCGAAGAGGTGTAATAACAAGAATGACATTTGTACTTGTAGTCTGAGCACAACGGTACCTACACCATCCAAGCGAGCCTCCATTACCATCCTGTCTGAACAATAACAATTCAATAAACCCTGCAGCAACAACAGAAAGAAATCGTAGCACGAGAAACCCATGCCTGCATGCGACTGCTGTATGAACACAACCGCCATCGGACCATCGCCGTGATGATGATGAAGATGCTGAGGTTGACGACTATGTTGAGGATGATGTTGAGGATGGCGAGGATAATGATGATGATGATGAAGATGATGATATGCTGCTCCTGTCGTGATTTATCATCAGCTGCTGCTGCTGCTGCTGCTCCTGCTGCTGCTCCTGCTACTGCAAAAGGCAAGCACTTGTGCTGTCAACCACATCGTTATTAAAGAGCCCCCCCCCACCCCCCACACCCCCCACACCCCCCCCCACCCCCGTACCCCCGAAAAACGCCCGAAAGCAAGGTTAACACCAGGACTCTACTGCTGCTGCTCCTGCTGCGGGTACTGCCGTGATTATTGCTGTTACTGCAAAGGGCAAGCACCTGTGCTGTCAACCATATCGGTTTT